ATTTAATTTTTCTTTGTGCTCATGTGGTACGATCGATCGAGTTCGATATATCGATTTAATAAAGGTTGACAAACGATACCGTTAGATTTAAATAACAAACGAGTTGATTTTTCAATAATCGATTTTTCAATTTTTCTTATAAAAAAAATGATTCCGAAAATATTTTCAACAACTTTCGAAATCGATTTACGATTTTCAAAGACGAAGGTCGACAACATGTGATTTATTATTATTATTATTATTATTATCTCTTTTTTTTACTCGTTTGAGTTTTTTTTTTTTTTTTTTTGTAATTTTTACGCGCGTTTTACAATTTTGTCCTTTTTTTTTTTCGCGTCGCCGTTCTTTCCCCCTCCTCCCCTCTCCTCTTCTTTCCTCTACCTCCCACTCCCTAAAGCCCCTCCCCCCGTCGTCGTCGTCGTCGTATCCGTTCCAGGTATGAAAACTTGATGATATTCTTTAACAACTCGCGAATATTTACGATAAAATAATTGCGGAAAAAAAAATCAATTAATGAATAATTATTATTATTATTAATATTTAAATGAATGCGAAATATTAATTTTATTATCATTATTAATTATTTGTTGTAATTATCACATGATGATGCAATTAGTCGGAAAAATAAATTTTCCGATTCATTGTTTTTTTTTTCTTTCATAATAATAAAAAAAATTTAAATTTTATTAATTATTTTATATTTGCACTTTGATATCTTTTTATTATTATTATCATTATTATTATTATTATTATTATTTCCAGTTTTTTTTTTTTCGTAATTCATAAATAATTTATTTATTATTATTATTATTATTATTCAAGGAAAATAACGTCTTAACATAATTTTTGCAAATCGTGCTCCCCCCGTCTCGTTTGTCGAAAAACAAACAAAAAAAAAATTTAAATCGAATTAAAAACAAAATGACGTCATATTTTCATTTTGGAAAAATTGTCTTCTGCTAAAATAAAAAAAATTTTTTTTTTTAAATTTTGCGCCATTTTGTAATTTTTTTTTTTTTTCGTTAATTCGAATTTTATTTTCGTAAAGAGCGACGGAAAAAATTTTTTTTTTCCAAATCATTCGATACTTATCGATATATCGATTGAATCGATTATTATATCTAAATAAATGGAAAAACGTTTTTTTTTGTTAATTCGAATTTTATTTTCGTAAAGAACGACGAAAAATTTTTTTTTTAAATCGTTCGATATTTATCGATATATCGATCGAATCGATTATTTTGTGTGAATAAACAGAAAAACGTTTTTTTTTTTTTTTTTTTGTTAGTTCGAGTTTTATTTTTGAGCGACGGAAAATTTTTTTTTAAATCGTTCGATTTCTATCGATATATCGACCAAATCGATTATTATATTTGAATAAACGGAAAAACGTTTTTCTTTTGTTAATTCAAATTTAATTTTTGAGCGACGGAAAAAAATTTTTTTTTTTAAATCGTTCGATATTTATCGATATATCGATTGAATCGATTATTATATCTAAATAAATGGAAAAACGTTTTTTTTTGTTAATTCGAATTTTATTTTCGTAAAGAACGACGAAAAATTTTTTTTTTAAATCGTTCGATATTTATCGATATATCGATCGAATCGATTATTTTGTGTGAATAAACAGAAAAACGTTTTTTTTTTTTTTTTTTTGTTAGTTCGAGTTTTATTTTTGAGCGACGGAAAATTTTTTTTTAAATCGTTCGATTTCTATCGATATATCGACCAAATCGATTATTATATTTGAATAAACGGAAAAACGTTTTTCTTTTGTTAATTCAAATTTAATTTTTGAGCGACGGAAAAAAATTTTTTTTTTTAAATCGTTCGATATTTATCGATATATCGATCGAATCGATTATTGTGTCTGAATAAGCGGAAAAAGTTTTTTTTTTTTTTAATTCGAGTTTTATTTTTGAGCGACGGGAAAAAAATTTTTTTAAATCGTTCGATATTTATCGATATATCGATCTAATCGATTATTATATTTGAATAAACGGAAAAACGTTTTTTTTTGTTAATTCAAATTTTATTTTTGAGCGACGGGAAAAAAATTTTTTTTAATCGTTCGATATTTATCGATATATCGATCTAATCGATTATTACATTTGAAGAAACGGAAAAACGTTTTTCTTTTTTTTTTGAATTTATTTTCGTCTGTTTGTTTGTTTGTTTTTATAAGGTAAAAATCAATAATTCGTTTGTTGTTTTTAAACGTTACCGTATTTGTATGAATCAAAGAATGAATGAATGAATGAATGAATGAATCAATTTTTAACTCTCGTAAGCTTTTACGATTCGTTATCGATTGATTACGTCATAATAATTACCGTAATAATAATAAGAAAAATGTACCGAACGGAAGCTTTTTTGTTAAAAGACTTTCGTAATTGTCAAACGTTTGTTAACGTAATAATAATAATAATAATAATCATTATTATTATTATTTTATTTGTTTTCGTAATTTAATTTTCTTTTTAAGAGGAGTAAAAAGGAGTGTTTTTTAAAAGTAATAAAAAAAAAGAAAACTTACGTCAACCCATTGTCATATTGCCAGGAGAATGACATTAGCGAAATTTATTTCAGGGTCAAGTTTGCCAAAAAACAAAAAAATTTAATAACAATATTTTGTCGTTTGTCGTTTGTCGTTGTTGTTATCGTAAAGTTGGTATTAAGTCAGGTTGTCTGCAAAATTTCCAGATTTCGTCTTATATATTTGGTTAAACACACTTTATTGCACTTTTACGTAATCAAGTTTATTAAATTATTTTTTTTTAACGTCAGGTAGTTTGTAAGACGAGACAGAGAGAGAGAGAGAGAGAGAGAGAGAAAAGCTTATAAGGTTGTTGCCATTGTCTATGACGTCAGATACAACAGAAAACGTTTTGGATACAACAAAAACAATTTTTTTTTTTTTTCTTATAATTTTCATAAGTCGAATCGAATCGAATCGAAATATATATCGAAGTTTCGAGTACGTTGAACCGAGATAAATAATAATTTTTTTTTTTAAAAAAAAGTGTAAATAGACCGGTTTTTTTTTCTGGGAGGAAAAGTGAGGAGGGAGGGATAGAGGGATAAGGGGGAGAGTAATAAAACTGGAAAATTTTTTTTTTTTTTAATTTTTCTCCAGGGAATTACGAAAACTGAATTGATCTGAACACAGGCACGGTACGGGAAAGTAAAAAAAAATAGATAGATACCTTTTTATAAGGTATCGATTTTATTTTTAAAAAAAATCAAGGTATCAATTAAGGTATAATATACTCGTTTCGTACTCGACAACTTAATAAAAAAAAAAAAAAAAAACGTGGCACTCGTACAAACAAGTTTTCACGGTCAATATCTTTTTATACTAATAAAATTATATTAATATACATATATACGTTTAAAAAAGAAAACGTTTTTGGCGCCAATTTTTAAAAATTCAAAATAAAAAAAATGGCGGAATCTTTTGTAATCATCCCCATCAGGATTCTTATTTCTTTCTCGTATAAATTTTTATATCTTTTATTATTATTATCATTAAAAAAAAAAACGTGTAAAATTCGAATTCCAGGTATTATGACGTCAATATCCAGTAAAAAAATTTTTTTTTGTTGTTGTTTAGCGATAGAAAAAATGACCTCAAAACCTGTGACGTAATAATGAAAAACGATTACGTTCAATGTGTTATTTTGTTGTTGTTGCCAGGATTAAAAGATTGCAAATTTAAATTTAAAAAAAAAAAAAAACATTTGACGGACCTTGATAAATACTCTAAAGATCAGTTAAAAAAAAAAAATTGGACTGGAATCAAACTGGAATATATTATTAATAATAATAATAATAAATTAATTTATGATTCTAATAATCAAACGCGTTAAACATAAAAAATTTTTTTACGTCACTATAAAATTCGAATTTGTTTGTTATTGTTTCAAACCATAGAATAATTAAACACACGTGTAAACAAACAAACAAACAAAAACTTCCAGAACGTTCGATATTGATAATTCAAGGTTTCCAAATATGGGAAAATATGGGAAAATCGAAAATTATCTACCGGAAGTAAACAAAAATAAAAATTAGTTAATGACCTAATTTTTTTAAACAAATCAATTAAATAAATAAATAAATAAATTGATTTTTTATTTTTTTTTTTTTACAGGAAGGATATTTTTAATAGTTTCTGGAATTTTCCTCATCATTTGTGCAATAAGTAGTTTCATATATACACCGTTTGAATTCATGATGCGTGAGGTAAGTAAACAAGTATATCATATAAATGTATAAATAACAACGGTGACGTCATCAAACAAATTATCCCGTGACGTATATTTATAATAGTATATATATAAATTACCGTAAGTTTATATATAATTAATAGAAAAACGTTGTGACGTCACTTGCGTGTTATCATAGACTACTAACGGTTTTTATACGTGTATATATATATATATATATATATATTATATTACGGAAAATATAACATTTTTTTCTATATTTAACGCATCGTCATTAATACTGCAAACATAATTAATAATAATAATAATAATAATAATGCATTTTAATTAAAAATTGTATGTGTTGTAGTATTACACGTAGTTGTTGTTGTTGTTGTCAAACCGGTTTCGTAATTTTTAACTTATTATTATTATTATTAACACAGGAATCTCCTCGCACACGACCGCCATATTTTTTTTTTATCCATTTCAGGTTTTTTTTTTATTGAGCTTACGTAAAAAAAAAAAAAAAAAAGAACGGGGGGACCTTAAAAAAAAAAACGGTAGCAAATAAAAAGTTGAGAGATAGGAATAGTAATAATGAGAATGGGAAAAAGATAAGGAGTAGGAGGTGGAGAAGGAGGAGGAGTAGAAGGAGGTGAAGGAGGAGGAGGAGGATGAGGACCAGGAAAAGGAGGAGAAGTAGGAGTAAGAGGAGGAGGAGGAGGTGGTGGAGAAGGAGGAGGGGAAGAAATTATCATTATTATTAATTTGTTGCAGAGATTACGAATGTTACCGGGACTTCCTCCCTACGATTGGTGGAAAGATCCACCAGATGAAGTTTTGCTCAAGGTCTACGTTTTCAACGTGACAAATTCAAACGAATATTCCGAAGGAAGGGATGATTATTTAAGGGTTGAAGAAATCGGTCCGTTCGTTTTTAGGGAAAAACTCAAACACACGAACGTGACGTTTAATAATAATGATACTATGACGTATACGGCTCACAGATCCGCGATATTCCTTCCGGAACTTTCTGGAAATCTTAGTCTCGATGTAAAATTAATAGTGCCTAATTTACCTCTACTGGTAAGATCCTGGTAGTTCCTTCCCCCTTTCTCCCATCTCCCTCCTTTCCCCCCACCAGTTCGCATTAATTATTATTATTATTATTATTATTATTTGCAGGGAGGAGCGTCTTTTTTATCAAAATATTCATTTCTCACAAAATTAGGTTTTAATTTAATTTTAAGAAGACTGAATACGAATCCTTTTATCGAAATAAATGCAAATGATTACATGTGGAATTGGACGGATCCACTCGTGGATGTTGCCAAAAATTTAATGCCACATTTAGTACCGGTATCAAACGTCGGAATACTCGATACGGTACTCGTTAATAATAATAATAATGATAATAAAAATTATTCAGAAAATTTTATATTAAATTTTTTTTGTTTTTCCAATACTAGATTTATAGTAATTTCGTGGATGATGTTACGGTTTACATAGGACCCGGAAACGATAGGAAATTTTTTAAAATAGATAAATATCATGGTTCTAATCGTTTGGGTTATTGGCCGGATGAACGTTGCGATAGTCCGGTTAATTCTTCCGAGGGAATCGCATATCATCAATTTGTTAATAGAAACGATACTATTAAATATTTAAGAAAGACTATATGTAGAGTAGCATCACTTTATTATAAAAGTATATATACCTTAAAAAATTGTTGTCAAATTAATCTCCTGCCACGACCGCAAAATCCATCATGAATTTCTTTCTTGTTAATTGCAGAAGACGTCGTTCAAGAATCTATGACTGCTTATAGATTCGATCTTCCAAAAGATATTTTTCACAGGCCAAATAATTCAAAAGATGATTGTTTTACTCTACCCGGTGATGACCCTTTACCCTCGGGTGTTGCCGATATAAGTCCTTGTTATTATAATTTTCCATTCGGTATAAGTTTGCCACATTTTTACGGTGCGACAGATGATCTCATGAAATATTTAAAAGTTAAGGGTATGAAGGCTGATGAAAAAAAACACGGAAGTTACGTCATCATCGAACCGGTACGTCATAAATTTATATTCTCTTACCCTATATATTTGTATTAATAAATTTTTCTTATTTTCCAGACGACTGGAATCCCGATGGAAAGCCGTGCTAGAAGTCAATGTAATCTTATTGTTAAATCAATGTCCGGTTATCCAGATTTTTTACAAAAATTTAGCCATACAATAATACCGATGTTTTGGCTCGAATACGTAAGTTTTACCGGAAGTGAGGGGTAGGGGGGAGGAGGAGGTTCGGAAAATTCTATTAAAAAAATTTTCTTTCTTTTTATTTTCAAGGGTCAAGTCGGTCTTCCGTGGTATTTGAGTAGTTTGATGTATGCAATTGTCATTGTTTTACCTTCTACACAATCCTACGTCTCTTTCGTAGTTTTAATTTTGGGTTTTGGATTTTTATACTACGGTTATTCTCATCATTTTTTATACCTTTATAGAAATTTAGTTTTTAAATATCACGAATTTAAAAAATCTTATTTTGGTTATTTTAAATAAATAAATAAATAAATAAATAAATATTACTTAATAATGATTTTTTTATAATAATAATAATAATTCCAATCTTTTGTCCAACACCTGCATTAAACTTAATCGAAAACAAACAAACAAATCATTATTTACAAAAATATTTATTTATGTATAAAAATAATTGGTATCACATTATTTACATCACAAATACAAAAAGAAAATTGTTCTTTAAGTTTCCGGTAAAGTTTTAAGTAAATCTTTTGAAAAATTATAAAAAACCGGTTTTCTTTTCCTTTGAGAATAACCAAATGTGAAACCTTTAAAACTTTGCTCTGTCTGTTTTTGTTTTGTCGATTTTGTATTTTTTTCTTCTTCGCTCACATCCATTGAATTTTCATCTTTAACAGGTTTTTTATCTGTAAAAATTTATTTATTTATTTAATTAATTAATATAAAATGGAGGAATTATGTATGGTTAAAATGAAAAGTCCCATTTACCATTTTTTTTGGTTTTTTTATTTTTTTGTTTTTTTTTCTTGTATGTGTTAAATCGATAATCACTGGGAAATTTATGGATTTCAATGCAGTGATTAAATCTTTTTTCAGGTAACATAAAACGTTCTGAACATTCAGGTACAAAACACTGAAACTAAATTTTATTTCATCATAAATATTTTTCTGTGTGCATTTGTCGTAGTATCGTTTGAATTCAATAGAAATATAAAAGTCAATAAATAATTCTAACCATTGGTTTTTTCTTTGCAAGTTCACTGAAAAAAGAATCATGCATTTCGGATAAATGAAGATCTAATAAATGATTATTTGGAAAATTTCTTTTACACTCTGAACATGTAAAACAATGACGAGAATTGTAGTGGGCTTCATATTGCATAACTGTTTCGAAAACACTTTTGCAACCAGGTAAATGACAAGAAAATGGTTGGTAACTGTAAATAAAAACATAAATTAATTAAATGGAATTGAAAACGAATCCATTTTGAGGGTTAAAATAAAATTAAAAAACCAACTTTTTATGATAAAATTCTTCTTCACCAAAATCTGATATTCCGAATGTTTTGAGAGGTTGACATATGTCATTAGCTTCTTTTAAAAATGGATCGTGAGGATGTCTACATCCAACACCTAAACCTTTTACATATTCAATTATATTTTCCATTTTTAAATAAATAAATACGTTTTTTTTTTGAATATATATAACGAACTACTGCATTAAAATTTGTTTTTATACGATATCTAATAATTGTATAATCTCATCAGTATGGAAGTCACTGAAAAACTATTTTATTATAAATATTCACGTTTCGCCATTCTTTATCTTTTTACTTATATTTATTTTTAATAATTATAGTATTAATATAATTCATTATGTTTTAATAATAAATTCAAAAAGTACTGAAAGGAATAACCAGATATTTATTTACTCTATGCCGTGTATGATCACCACTTGTAAAAAGTCGACAAAATGGCAGATTTTTTTATGAAATTAATTAATTTAAAATAAGATTATTATTATTTAATAAACTTTTACATATAAAAATAGTTTTTTTTAAAAATAAAATTGAGAGAAAAAATTATCAAAATTATAATATTTTTTTATTTAAAGTTATTCGTAATTTGTCGATCAAAAATAATTTTATTTTTGCGACAATTTATTTCAGTAAGTCTTTCCGGTTGCAGCCATATTTCAAGGTACTAATAAATTTTTAAATAATTTATTTATTACAAATCGTTTATTAATAAAATTATAAAATAAGTAAAATATATTTAAAATAAATAGTTTAAAGTAATTTTACATTTTGGTTTTATGCATAAGTTTTCTTCTAACGTATTTTTTACATTTTTTTCGGTTGATTTTTGACCCACGTTTTCGATGTTTATTTCTTGTTTTAACGCGTAATGACACATATTTTATTTTCAGATGCGGCAGTCAATTACTCTTAAAGACGTTGATCAACAGAAATTCGTTAAGGCGTTTGCTGCCTTTTTGAAAAAGTAAGTATATAATATCTAATATTAATTTCGCGAATATATAGACTCAAAACGAGTCATTCTGGTTTTATCATGCACACTTTTTTGGATAAATAGTAAAATGAATTGATATCAAGTTAAGTTAAATACATTGATTCCATCGTTATAAAATCATTTTAGATCTGGCAAAATGAAAATCCCCGAATGGGTTGATTTAGTTAAAACAGCCAAATTTAAAGAATTAGCTCCTTATGATGAAAACTGGTATTACACAAGATGTGCTGCATTGGCAAGACATATTTACTTTAGATCACCTGTCGGAGTTGGTGCTGTTACAAAAATATTTGGAGGTAAATTTTTAGCATGCACTTTCATATCATATTGGGGGGCTATCGAATGCTTTTATTAAACTGACAAATGATAATAATTTTTAGGAAGGAAACGTAACGGAGTTTGTCCTTCCCATTTCTGTAGGAGCTCGGGAGCTGTAGCGAGAAGAGCATTACAAAGTCTTGAAAGTGCTAAACTTATTGAAAAAACAGAAGGCGGTCGTAGGTTGACAAATCAAGGTAGAAGAGATCTTGATAGAATTGCCGCCCAAGTTTTTGTCAAAAGTAAGCAAGCAGCTGCTGCTGCTGCTGCAGCCGCTGCAGCAGTAGGAGTAGTTGTTATCCCTGCTACAGCAGCAGCTAAATAATAATTTGTAATATTACAATTTACTTTTTAATAATAACAAAAATGATTTTATAACAGATCGTAATTCATTTAGACATTTCCAATTGACTTTAATAATTTTTCTAATGTTAAAATTTTCAATTAATGGAAAAAGGGGAGGAGTAGGTTTGTAGTAGTAGGTATGCAAATAAGAAAAAACAGGAAACGTTTTATTTTTGAAGAAAAAAAAAAAAAAATTTATTTCAAATAATTTTTTTTCTTTCTAAAATTGGTGCATTATAATTATTATAATCAAAAATATTATTTGTGACGTCATCTACAATAAGTAAAAACCTCATTTAAAACATTTTTAAGCACATTTTTCAATTTATATAAAAAAAAAAAAAAAAAAAAAAAGTAACAAATTTAAAATGCATTACAACGCATTAAGCAAAACATTTTTTTTTTTAAATATATGGACGGTTAAGCCACAGTTAAAACAAAATTTACAAAGAAAAAAAGGGAAAAATTATCCCGGAAAATAAATAAAATAATTTTCACAAAAAAATTTTGTTCCCCATTTTTTTTTTTTTTTTTACAACAAACATTAATAAAAAAATAAATAAAATAATAATAATAATAGTGATAATAATTGTGTAAAACTACGAAGATTCCTTTTGCTTTGGGGAAATATAAGAAAAAAACCTGGAACGGATTTAAGAAAGACTTTGGCAAGCGAAATATTAATGGACTCGTCCTCCTCCTCCTCAATACGCACGGTAAGTGATAATAATATTAATAATAATAATAATTTTTTCTTTCAGTCTTAACTACCTTCTACCTTTTAAAAATATTTTATAATATATTATAAATACGCGTGTGTGTGTGTGTAATACTAAATATAGGCTATAAAAAAAGCTGAGCATTATTAGAGAGAGAGAGAGAGAGAGACGGTCGATAAAACAATCAATATAATCAATTTTAAATTATTGATTTTTAATCGTTAAAAAAAAAATGATTGATTGATGACGTCAATCAATCAATCAATCATCCGTTGGCACCGCCGCGGTAAAGAATCTTATCGATTAATTCTCACGTTTTGTTTCGCGATTATGATGATGATGATAAATACATAAAAAAATAATAATAATAATAATAACACACATAATAAAAACGGAATTATTTAAAAAAAAAAAAATTATCAAACGAAATAATATAATAATAATAATAATAATAATAATAATAATGGTAATGGCATCTCTCCGATTGGATTTTAACGTTTTTTTCCTTTTTTCTTCCTTTTTTTTTTTCCTTTTTTTTCCTTTTTTTTTTCCTTTTTTTTCCTTTTTTTTCCTTTTTCCTTTAAAGCGTTACTTGACTAGAACTGATTCCTTCGATTTGCGTCACGTTCCTCGCTGCTGCTGCAGATTTCAACCAATCCCTTAAACTTCTCGTTCTTTCTGCTAGCGTCGAATCAACAATGGCGGCGGTTAAACCGTTCGACGTACTCCCCCCCCCCGTCGTCGTCGTGATCATTTGAGTTTTAAACTGTTGTTGAACAGCCGCGGGCCTGAAATTTAAAAAATTTAAATTTTCTTTCAACCCCTTTCCCTTATTTCGATGATGATGATAATGATGATGATAATGATGATAAATTCGAATTCGTTTATTTACCTTTGAAAATTTGACGTCGACGTTATGACCGTGTTACGATACGGATAGGGTGGAGTCAATGGAAAATTCGTCCAACCGACATCACCGTAAAACAATTGCGGAGCAAAAGGAATAGAAGAAGGCGGAGGAGGAGGAGGAGCAACAGGAGCAAAAGAAGGAAAAACGGATGTCGACGACGAACCGTTTGATTGTTGATTTCCGGTTTGATTTTTTTTTATCGTTTCCCATATTTCCCGTATTTCCGTATTTAAATTTTCTAAACTTTGTATTATTTCCGTCGAATCTTGCATGTTGTTGTCTTCCTCGTAATTACGTCGTTGATTTTCTTTCGTTCCCGTCTTTGTTTTAACTAAATATACAAATAGGCAAGTTATTAATTTTTTTTTTTTTTTTCTTATTTTTTTAAATTTATTAATGTTAGTTTTCGGATAGTTATTATTATTATTATTATTATTATTATTATTATTATTATTATTATTATTATTATTATTATTAATACGTTGACGAATATAACATTTTCCGTAGTAAATCTATCTTACTTCCGCCGCCACCGACAACGTTTTGTGTGTCGTTAAAATCGGTGCTGCTGAAACCGGAACTTCCTGAATACGAACTTAAATCGCTTAAAGTTTTTTCATCTTCCCGGTTGTTGTTGTTGTTTGGATTTCTCACGGTCAACCTTCCGAAAAAATCTTTTCCCTTAACCGTCAACGAATCTTTTTTTAACGGTTGTTGCTGTTGCTGCTGCTGTTGCGATATCCTTTTAAGCGATTGTTCTAAATGTCTCAAACGTATTATTTTTTCACCCAAAAGAGCCCGAGTTCTATAAACTGAAACTTCCATATCCGTCAAATCTTTTTCTTCCTGATAATAATAATAATAATAATAATAATAATAATGATAAAATAATTATAAATTCCAGTTTTTATTTTTAGGAAAATTTTTTTTAGTAAACAAGGTTCGTACCTGATAAACTTGTTCGATAACCGATTTTGTACCGGGTTCGCCGTCGTCGAGTTTTTCCTTTAATTCTTTCTGTCGATTTTCGAAACTTTTTTTTTGACTTTTCAACGAATCTTTTGCTCTTTTTATCGACTCTCGTTCGAGATGAATCCTGTGTCGAAAGAAAAAAAAAATGAATTGGAATTAAATTGTCATTGAAATGACTTTCACGAACAAATCGACCGTGCGTACCTGTGTTTGAAAAATTCAATTTCCGAACTTCCAAATTGTGCGTTGTCGGTAAATGGATACCTCATGTAGGTATCCGTGTACGTCGCGACCGGAAATTGATCTTCTAATTCTTCCAATTTTTTCAATTGCCTCCTTAAATTTTCCACCGGAGATAAAACTTCCTAAAAATTTAAAATATTTGCGTTATTGCGCATGCGCGTTCGAACCTTAAAAGGCTGTGTTTCCACACGATCCACGTACCTTTCCTCTACTTTTGTTACTCAAATTAATCCTCGACGTGCTCGCAGCTTTTAATCTTGAAAATAATTGTTTCTTTTTTTTTATCGTTTGATTTTCATCCGCCATATTTTTTTCCTCGCCGGAAAATTCATCTTTATATTTTTCACACGATAATGACGTCATTCGTTTTTCACCGTCGTCCTTGTCGTCCTTCCAATTTTTCTTTCCCTTCTTGTTCGCGAAATTTCCTGATTTATCATTTTCCGTTACATTTTTCAAAACATTTTCCTCGTCATCTTCTTCTTCTTCTTCTTCCGTTGATCCCTCTCGATTTTTCAAACACTCCGAATTGAATTGTTTTTTTATTTTCGTTTCCTTTTCCATTTTATCCTTTTTGACTCCTTTCAGATCCTCAACGTCGACTCGTTTCGACGTTTTGTGCGACGATGATTTTTCCGTTTCCGATCCCGTCGTCGCACACGCAGATTCTTTTTTTTTCTTCCTTTTTTTATCATCCAGACCGAGTTTGGCTTCTCCTTTCAATCTCGCATATTTTTCCTTTAACGTTTTGTATTTGTCTTCGAGGAGACGTTTTTCGCATCGTATTTTTTCAAAAATTCTATCGAAACAATGAAAAAAATACATTTCCGGCTTTAAATGCAACGCGCGCTCGGAAAATATTCTTATGAAAATACCTCCTACCTTGCTTCCGTGTTTTCCGGTCGTACCATATCGAAATTTTCCGACAATAAGGTTTTCCCCTCGGTGACTTCGATTCTCATTTTAATCTCGTCCAATCTGTTCAAATGAATTTTCCTCAAAGATTCTTCTTCGTTTTTAAATTGTATTTTCAATTGTTCGACGTTGAGACCGTGTTCTTGTTTCATATTTTCCAACAGCAATTCGTGTTCTTTCATTAAATTATTTTTTTGCTTTTGATAACTTTCTTTCATTTCCAATCTCATTATTTCAATGACGGCTTCATTTTCCCGAACCAATTCTAATTCTTTTAATTTTTGAGATTTTTGTTCTGTAAAATAAATACAGCAGACATTTTTTTTTTTTTTTTAAATTTGAGTTGACGTCAAATAACCGGAAATACTTACCGGATAATAAATCTTCCATATTTCTTTCGATTTTTTCCATGTCTTCCTTATGATTTTTCATCAATTCCGCTTTCCTATCATTTATTTCCATTTCGAATGTTTTTTTCAATTTTTCCAATTCTTCATCCCCGGATTTTTTCATTTCCATTTTTAAATTATTCAATCGATCCTTTTGTTCGGACCTCATTTGAATTTTTAATTTTTCCATTTCCTTTTCTTCCAATTTTATTAATTCCTCTTTTAAATTTTTTAATTTATTTTCTATTTGTCTTTCGTGATTTTCCCGAAGTTTTTCTTCCATTTCGATTTCCCTTTTCTTTAACGATTCTTCAAATTTTTCTTTCAAATTTTTCAATTCTTCATCTTTTTTATCATCGAATGATTTTTCCACGCTCTTCAACCAATCCTCGTATTCCTTTTCTAATTTTATCATTTTCTCTTCTTTTATTTTATCGTATTTATTTATTTTCTCGTCTAATTCTTGAGTTTTTAACGTGAGATTTTCCAAACCTAATTGAGATTCTAATTTTTCTAAATATTCCAATTCTTTATTTTGTGAAAAAACGTTAACCAAATCATCCGACGAATCACTGTCGTCGTCGTCGTCGTCATTTCCGTTTAATATTTCTTCTAGTAAAAAATCTTTATCGCGATATTTAATATTATCGGTTGGAGAAAAATCCTTTTTCATATCTAAATCTAATTTTTTTTTTATTGTAAAATCAACTAAATCATCCAGAGTGGAATCGAATATCTTAGAACCTAATTCTGTACTTTTTTTAACATTATTCCCTGTTTTTTTTATCGTTTCATCGAAAAGATTTTTAATCTCACTTATTTTATTTTCATCATCTGTTAAAATTTCCTTTTCTTGACTATTATTATTGTTATTTGTAAGACGTCCATCTTGACTAGGTATGCTTCTGCTACTACTGCTATTACTCTGACTAGATTTAATAATATCAATAGATGATGATTTTTTATAATTATCAACATTAATACTTTCTCTAAATTTAATATCACTTTTTTTATTGCTTTCAAATATTTCTCTAAATTCTTTGACTAACATTTGACTAGGTTTAAATTTCTTTTGTTCTGTCATTTTGACAGAACAATCCATTGGCACATTCGCTTTTAACTTTTGTAACTTTTCTTCACTTAAACATATATCTAAATCATCAAAATCAACTTCTATTTGCCTGTTACCTTGTTTTTCCGATTTGTTCTCACTGATCAACCCATCATTTTTGCATGAATTACTTTTGTGTGTTGTTGTTGTCGCTGTTGCTGCTGGTAATTGTGTGTCATTTGTTTTGTTTGCTGTAGGAATTTCAAATGAAACTTTTAATTCTTTTTCTAAATTGAAACGAACACTTTTTCGATCATCATCAATTTCTTCTTTAGACATTTTTTTATCACCTATATTTTTTAAAAAAAAAAAAAAAATTAAAGTTAGATAAAAAAAAGTTTTTTTAAAACAATATTAATTACTATACTATATTGAAAACTTACCTCCTAAATTTAATTTTTTTTCAATATTGTTTTGATTGCTTTGATCTCTTAATATAGATTTTATATGAGAATCTGTATCATGTATCGGTTTTCTCACATCAGGTGACAATAACCCTTCGGACAATTCTTCTTTTGAAAATGATGATGTCACCATATCGGAAGATGGACTAGATTTCATTTTGTTACTTTTCAAAAATACCATTCCTCCACCAGCTAGTGTTAATTCTCTTTTACCTCCACCATCTCTTTCTCCTAATGAGGAAACACTAAATTCTGTACCATAACCTTCATCTTTGGTAGCTACACCAAAATCGCTTCCTTTAACCTCTGAATTGGGACTTTCAACATAACCTTTGGATTCCATTAATTTTTTATTCTCTGTTAAAAAATTTAATTTTTCTATTGTATTAGAATTAATTATTTCTTGTTTTGATAAATGCATAAATTCCATTGGACCAATATTTCTTCTATTTCTTATATCAGATGAGTTGGGCCTTTTTCGAACTTCAATTTCATTGAAAATAATTTGTTTTTCCAAATCTTCATTTTCAGATTTAAATAAAACTTTTTCATCATTGTTAGAAAAATCAGATTTGACACAATTATTTTTCAACAAATCTTTAGAAATAGATTTTTTAATAGGACTTAATGTTGTAGGAATTTTTTTAAGTATACTTTTTCCTAAAGGACTTAACGGTTCTAATTTTTTAGGTTTCAAACTCATGTCATTAGTCGTCAGAAGAATGGATGCTTCTTCGAAACTTTTCAAGTCTTCCTTGATTGAAGTCCTTGAATCATCATCAATTTGCTCTAAGGTAATAAAATTATTATTATTATTGATTTTTCTTTTTTTTTCTTTTACTATAAAATTTTTTTTTTTTTTATATAGTAAAATTAATTACCAGAAAAACCGGTTTCATTTCTCGCTCTTTTAACTAATGTTCTATATACATCATCTAATGGATGTTCCCACTGTGCTTTTTTTGTTTTAAAGTTAAAATAATATATTTCTTTTTTATCCTTATCAAAACTAAAAAAAACCAAAATAAAATTACATCTCATTAATTTGCAGTAACAATCGAAGAAAGAAAAAAAAATCATTAATTTTTTAAAACTTTTTTATTATTTCATATTAATTTTATTTTATAGATTTTTAACTACTTTTGTTTGACAGGAAAAAATGTATGTATATATAATATATATATTTATAAAAAGGGTTTTTTTAAAACTTTTAAAACCATTACCAGGGTTTCCATCCTGATGGTAAAGCTTGCATAAGGCCATCTTGAGCTAAATACAATAAATGAGATTCAGTCTCAACATCTATTCCAATTTTTATGGCATATTCATAAATTTCTGTAAATAAATTTTAGTAAAGTAATGAAAAATCAATCAATAACAAAATTCTAATAATAAAATAGCATTCAATAGTTTCATAATAAACAAAATTATATACATTATTATAAAAATGGGAAGGAAGAAAAAAAAAAAAAAGGGCGGGTGAAATTTTTTTTTTTTTTTATGTACGTAAAACATATATTTCGTTTTTTGCACAAATTATGGATTTATCTACTATAAATTCAAGTATTAAGAATATTTAAATCAATCATTAAAAGCAAAAAAAGGACAGAAAATAACATCTGTACCTTCGTCTGTGGGTTTACTCCCTTCATCGAACACTTCCTTCAAAACGACTTGACCAGACGTTGAGGAAAGGCTCATAATTTTTCATCTTTTCGTTTGCATTCGAAAAATTTCATAATTAAACTTTTTCTTTTTTTTTTTTTTTAAATAAATTAAAACTTTTAATATAAATAATATGTCGTGTACATTAACAAAGAGCTGCTTTCTTTTATATGAAAAAAATAATAACAAATACTCTCTCTCTCTCATTCACTGCATTGCGCCATTTTGTTTTTTTGTTTTTTTTTTTTTCGAAACCCATTCCAAAATTTTTTTTTCTCAATTTTACGTCACCAACCTTTTTTTTTTCGACGATCGTTTAATTGAAATTTTTTTTAATATTTAACAGCTTTTATTTAAATTATTATATCGTTTTTATTCAAAAAAAAGGTTAAAATATCGTCTGTTAGGTTGAATTCATATAAATTAAATGAAATTTGAAATTATCGGTTAAAATAATTAAAAACTAATTCAGTTTTATTAAGTAGAATAAAAAGTATTAATTAGTGGATTGAAGTTTTTTTTTTTTTTTTTAATATTAATCTAAATTATTTTATTTAAATTTTATTTTTTTTTATTGAAATAAATAAATGACTTATCGATGCATGAATTAATAATAAAAAATGGTAACTTTATTAAAACTTTTTGCGTTTTATTATAATTTTCATTTTTTTTTTTTTTCTCATATGAATTTTACCCATAAAATTATTTATTACTACTTTAATCAATTGCACGATTGAATAAATTTTAATGCAATAAAATTTTTATTATTAATAAATAAATTATTTTTTTTTTTAACATTTACAACTTGATACGTTTAAAAAAAATGTGTGTGTGAATTATTAATTAATTAATCAATCAATTCATTTATTTATTAATAATTAATAATAATTAATTTAATTTATTGATAATTTTTTTTTATGAAGAAATTTTTTTTAACTTCAAATTAAGGAAACAAGTTAGAAAAAATAATTTTTTTTTCCTTTTTTTTTTTTATTGAAATTTTATTTAATAATATTTAAATAATGTTTATTTCTTTTTTTTTTTTTGCATGTAAAAAAAATGGCAATTAAGTGAATGGTTGTCCTTGAAACAAGAAACAACATTAATTTGACCTTGGTGGTTATTAAACGAAAACGCTCACGCGGAAAAAATTAAAAATGTCTTCCGAAGAAATCATCGTTGAAATTTCTGATGGATTTTTACGTGGGAAAAAATGTATTTCCGTCCGAAATAATTTTCCTTATTTTAGTTTTCAAGGAATACCATATGCTCAACCTCCAGTCGGTAATTTAAGATTTAAGGTAAGTAAAATATATTATTTTAAAATGCATTCAATAATTTTTCTTATCGAAAGTAAAAAAATTTGGATTTTAGGCGCCATTACCGGTTAAACCATGGACGGGAGTAAGAAATGCTTTGGTCGAAGGTGCAAATTCTCCATGTTTTTTCTTATTGTTTAATTCGCCAGAAATAAAAAGGGATGAGGATTGTTTGTTTTTAAACGTTTACACACCGGAAGTAATTTTACACAAACACAAATTTTTAGCTTAGTTTTATGAAAAGTAAGTTTCTAACGAATTTATTCATTTGTTTTTTTTTTTTTAGATTCCATCAGAAACAAAAAAAGAACAACTTCCGGTTATATTTTGGATACACGGTGGAGCTTTTTGTGCAGGATCAGGTGACTCTGATTTATATGGTCCTGATTATTTAGTAACGGAAAATGTCGTCATTGTAACGTGTAATTATCGTTTAGGACCGTTAGGTAGAACCTTTTTTCCCCTCAGATATTAAAATCATGTCATACATCTTACCACTCATTAATTGTCTTTAATTTTAAATTCCAGGTTTTTTAAGTCTACAAAGTAAGGAATATCCGGGAAACAACGGTTTGAAAGATATAATATTAGCATTGAAATGGTGCAGAACAAACATTTCAAAATTTTCTGGTGATGCTAACAATGTAACAATTTGTGGAGAAAGTGCTGGAGGAGCTGCAGTTCATTATCTGACAATGTCCAAACCAGCCTCTGGACTTTTTCATAAAGCAATTATTCAGTCTGGAGTAGCATCCAATTGTTGGGCGATTTCAAAAAATCCAAGGAAATCAGCATTTAAATTAGGCGAAATTTTAGGATTTAAAACCGAAGATGATGATGATGGCCAACTTTTACTAAACTTTTTAAAAGATGTCAAAGTTGAAAGTTTAATAGAGAAAAGCGGTCAAATATTAAAATTAATTGAGGTAAACTTTTATAATCTAATTATTCGTCATCAAATTCGTTAATTACGTTAATAATTTATTATTTTAGCCTAACGAACATTTTTTCGAAAATGCTTTTTGTCCATGTATTGAACCGGAAACTGATGATGCAGTTTTAACAATGCATCCGGAAGATTTTTACAAAAATGGAGGAACCATAAACGTTCCAGTTATTATAGGATCAACCGATTTAGAAGGACTCATTTTACTTGTATTAAATCGTAAATAATAATAATAATAATTATCAAATTATGAGTTAAAGTTATTATTAATATCGTTAAACTATAAAAAAAAAACTTTTTTACAGGTCAATTTACAATAAATGAAAATAATTTCAATGAAAATTTATATAAATTAATACCGGCTAATTTTATTGGGGATCCTAAAAGCGAATGGGGAGAAAAAATGTTGGAAAAAATTAAAAATTTTTACTTTCCAAATGGATTCGATGTTAAAAATTATATAAATGTGAGGAGTTAGGAGGAGAGCTCTTTTTGTTTTTCTTTTGTTTGATAATAATAATAATAATATTGGGTTTTATTACAGGCTCTATCTTCGATTTATTTTTTAAATGGAATTAATCAAGTCATTGATTTTCACAGTAATTTTTCAACGGATAAAAATCCAACATTTGTTTACAAATTTACATACGATGGAGAAATTACAACGATAAAAACTCTTTTCGGTTTGCAGGAATGGAAAGGTAAAATAAAAAATTAACGGAAAAATTTTTTCACAGGACTTTGTACAAACGGAAAATTTATTATTATTATTATTATTTGTTTTTCGATCAAGGTACTTGTCACGGTGACGATCTTTTTTATTTGTTTCAAAGGAGAAGCGTAACAAAATCGAAAATATCACCGGAATCGAAAGATTTTAACGTTATGAAAAATTATACTAAATTATGGACGGATTTTGCCAAACGTGGGATTCCATGTTCGAAAAATTTATGGAATCCGATTTCGAAAAATAAATTGTCCTATTTGGAAATCAATTACGAATTAATTCAAAAATTCGATGAGGATAGAAAAGAGTACGAATTTTGGAAAGGTTTAAGAGAAATGGCGACGGGTCAAGGTTTAAATCACGATGTCAGATTCTGATAATAAATTTTGAAATATTATTATTATTATCGTATGAGTAAAATTCACGTCTTCTGCTTGTCAATTTACGTAATGATCGATATAATATTAATTAAATTATTTAAAAAATTCATCATCATCGATAAGATTTTTAATCGAATTTAAATGTAAAAAAACTAAATAACGGTTTCGTATGACGTCACGCGTGACGTCATTTTAAATAAAAAAATTTTTTACTTATGGTTAATAATAGAAAGGATTTCTGAATGAGTGAGAAACAATTATTAAAATTTATTTTTTTTTTTATTCGAAACAAAAATATATTCGATCGAATGATCGATAGATCGAACGATCAATCGATCGATCGATCGATAATTAATTAATAAAAACGTACGAACAAAACAAAATGAAATTATTTTTCGGGTAATTTTTTTTTATGTTCTTCCATTTTAGATTTTAAAAATGCATTTAAACTGTGTGCGAGATCTTTTTGATCGTTCATCTCATTGATCATTTTTTTCAAATGTTGAATAACAATTTTTTTATCTTTAATTATTTTCTTAGCCAAATTACAATGTTTTTCCAAATATTTATAATTGATTAGTCTCGCGGAAGTGACGTCATCCAACGCATCGACGGTATTGATATTAATAATAACATCATCGTCGAAAATAAATTTTTCATATTGATCGATATAATTTTTTTGTCGATTTGATACGTCATCGAGTTTAACGAGCATTTCCGCTTCCGCATTTAATTTTTCACTGTTTGAAACCAATTCGGATTCGAGTTCCGTTATTTGTTTTTGAACGTCACCCTTTAATTTAAAATCTAATATTTTTTTCGTTATTATTTGATCGGTTTGTATTTTTTTATTTTGTTTTAATAATTTAAATTGTAACGAATTGCAATAAATTAAATATTCGTTGCAACATTTTTGTATTTCGTATATTTTATTTTTAAGAAGCGACGTTGCATTTTTATTTTTTTCCAAATCTTCCGACCAATATTTTGCTTGTTTTAACATGTTCGAAATCGCGTTCAGAAATTCACTTTCTGGGAAAAAAAGGGAAATTTTTTTTTTTTTTTTCAAACTCACGGAAAAATTAGAATAAAATTAATAATAATAAAAATTAATAATAAAAAATTCAAACCTTCTATTAATACCGTTTTAGGTTGATTTTCATCAGTTAAAAAATTTAATTTCGATGATGATGATGATGATGATGATGTTTTTATTTCTTTTTTTTTTTCTTTTTCTAAATCTCCGACATTTTTTTTTTTAACACAATTTAAATCAATTATATTTTTTTCCTTTTGTTGTAAACCTTTGACAGGTATTATTATTTCGTATTTGAATTTACGCGGTTTATTTATTATTATTATTTTTGTTTTTTCAATTTTTTTATAACCAAAATTCCACATAACATTTTGTATTTTAACCTTTTTTAAATTTTTTAAAGACATTTCGATTCTTTCATTCTTTTCAGTTAATCGATTTGGAAAATTATTATAATTCTCCATTTTTTCCATTTCATTTTGAATTTTTATCACTTCTATTATATTTTTTTCTACATTTTCAAATATATAATTATAGTTAATAGATATGGGATATTTTTTATACATTTTCCATTTATCATCATTCGATTCTTCATAAAATTTGCAAATATCATTTTTACCATCATCATCATCAATCGGATAATTTTTTTCTATATTTTCATAAATTAATTTTTTTTCAACATCATCAAATGTTGTCATAAATTTTTTTTTATTTTCTTGTTGTCTTTGTTGTTGTTTGTCTGTTAATTGAGAAAGAGGAGGAGGAGGAGGAGGAGAAGGAGATTTTATTTGTTTTTCCACATCTAAATTTTCACAAAAAAAAAGAGATTAATTGAAAATTTTTTTATTAACATTTAATTTCTACCTGACACAGGTTTTTTATACCTTTTTTAATATTTTTATATAATTTTGGTATGGGTATCTTTGATTGTTTTGTGTACCGAATGGATGGCATTTTTGTTTCGACAATTTTTGCCAATTCATTTTTTTTATTGGATTCGATATTAAATAAATTTATTTCATTACTTTCTAAAAAAATATTTTCTTCTGATACTGTAAAAAATCACATTGAAAAGTTTTTTAATTATTATTTTAATGAATAATGTCAAACAAACATTCCTTACTCGAAACAGGTTTAATTATTTCAATTTCCATCCGTTTAAAATTTATTAATTTATTTTTTTAATATATTTTATTATTTGATCATTTTTTTTGTTTGTTTTTTTTTTTAATTTTTTTCTTTTCAATTGTATTTAATCGTTGATTAATATCAAATAATTATTATTATTATGTATAAAATACTTCATTTTTTTTTTTTTTTTTTTTTTATTAAAATAATATATATGTAATACCTTTGCGAATAATAATACTCGATACAATTCCAAAAAAAATTTTTATACAATATTTTATATATATTTTTTTACAATTTAATTTAATTAAAAACAAACAAAAATTTTGAAATCATAAAACAAAAATTTATGTATTTATTTTAGTAATCAAAATCATCAAATTTATCAAGACGCAGTTTAAACAACTGTCAAAAAAATTAACGATTCATTTTTCATTTTTTTGTAATATATGAAAATATTATTTGCATATGTTTATCTTATGCGCGTTGCATTTTTACGCGTAAGAAAATATTGTCGAAACGTGAATATTAAGTTGGTAGCGCTGTTGTAAATTACGTTTACTATTTCGTACAACAATCTAAAGTACGTACAAAATGATGTTAATAACGTTATCTCGTTATTTTTTTTTACAATTTTTTTTTACAGTTATTACTTATTCTTCATCTCTTGAATCCGTACAAGAAAAACAATGGACTAAAGCCGTGGGTGAGTAGTGTTATTTTTTTAAAATTAAAAAACCTAAATTTACGAAAGATTTTTACTAATTTTTTTTTGTTTTTTTTTTTTTTTTTAAATTGTTGATTTGTAATTACCTTATTTATCAAATTGATAAAACGTTGACACTTGAAATTTTTTTTTCATCGTAATTTATTTACAGTTCAAAAAAAAGCTCCTTATTGGGAAGGGGTTGCCGTAGAAGCCGGTGAATTTAAAAATTTAAAATTAACCGATTACTTAGGAAAGTACCTCGTACTATTGTTTTATCCGTTAGATTTGTAAGTTCAATAACATTACAAAGAAATTTCCTTTTTTTTTTCAAAAATATATAATTAGTTTTTGTTTTTTTTTTTTTTTTTTTCAGTACATTTGTTTGTCCCACCGAAATTTTAGCGTTTAATGATAGAATTACTGAATTTAATGAATTAAACGCCGAAATTGTTGTTTGCTCAGTTGATTCTCACTTTACTCATTTAGCTTGGACCAACACATCGAGAAAAAATGGCGGTTTAGGATCCATTAAAATACCAATGCTTTCCGATTTGAATAGAAAAATATCACAAGATTATGGGGTTTATGTGCCTGAATTGGGTCATACATTAAGGTATTCAATTGTTTTCTTTCAATTTGATTAAAAATCTATAATTAATTAATTAATAATCGTTGAATTCAAAAATAGAGGGTTATTTATAATCGATGGACAAGGAATTTTAAGACAAATAACAATTAACGATTTGCCAGTTGGAAGAAGTGTTGATGAAACATTAAGATTATTACATGCATTTCAATATACTGATTCACATGGAGAAGTTTGTCCAGCTAATTGGAAACCTGGAGCTGACACAGTGAGTGGGAAAAACTTTTCATCAAACGATCGAAAAAAAAATTTATTCCTTAAAAAATTTAATTTTTTTTCAGATTATTCCTCATCCCGTTAAAAAGAAATATTATTTTGAAAAAGTTAATGAAGATTGTAGCGGTCATTAACTTCCTTTTATTATTTTTACAAAACACAAAAAGTCACAAAAAAGACTGAAAGGGCACACAACAAGCATCACATTTTTTTTCGATCAAATAATTTTTTTTTTCGGTTTCGTTTAGATAAAAAATTATTTTACTCGCATTTATTTTAACTTTTGATTAATTGTTTTTTTAAATAATTTTTTTAAAGAGAAAGAAATAATAATAATAATAACAATAATAGTTGGCTTTTTCAATTATTTATATTTTTTTATTTACAAAAAATAATTTTTAAATTTTTTTTTTTAAACATTTTTGTCTCGGAAAAGATAATTTTAATGTGTTAATCGGTTAAATGCACTCATAACTTAACAATCAATCATTGATTTATGTGCAAATTGTTTAGGTGAGTAAATATTTTATTTTTTAAACTCATAAATTCTGTTTTTCGAATCAAATAAATTTGGTTATTTGGCAAGGCAAATATAATAATAATGACGGAAATAATTAAAAAAAGAATTTTATATCAAATAATATATATAACATGTGCAAAAGCATTAAATACAAAATTCGAATATCATAATAGCGTACCGGATAATCGTTAAAATTAATTTATACATATTTATTTATTTTTTAACTAAAACAATTTCTATAAAAAAATGTCTTTCTGTAACTTTAGAAGTTAATTTGTTAAAAAGGGTTTATTTCATAAACCGAAAAACTTTTTTCACTCTTTTTAATTTGTAGAATTTACACTTTTACCACTTTCTTCCTCATTTAAATTATTTTTTTCAGACTTATCAGTATTTAACGAACTACCCACGCTTGGATTTCTAGTGTACGAATATCTTTGTCCGTTGTGTTCAATATATGTTTGTCCAGTTTCAGACTGCAGTAAAATACCTATGTAATTGCTTGGTACCAGACCAATTTTACTATTTTCATTACAAGCCAGTATCCAGCCTGAAAATAATGTAAGTATGTACAATAAAAATTTTAAATCGATTAAGTCATAAAATAAATTACAAATTTTTACCTGGACAGTCAGTTGGTTGAAATTTTTTCGGAGCAATCATCAATTTTTGTTGTGACGAAATGCTTAATTCTTGATTTGAGGCAGCATAAAAATCATACATTCCAATCCCTAATGATCCTGGTTGCTCAGCAGGAGTCCAAATTTCTATAATAAAACAGGAATATTTAATCGTTTCATTTTCCAGGGAAAATGTTCTTAATGATTGATTGAAAAAAAAATTTTACATACCTTGAGTTGGACGAATATTTAATTCACTCAAAAGTTTAAAAATAAGATATGGCCCTCCAATAATTAAAGACATAAATATTAAAAATGGCCAAGTCTTTGTTTTATTATTTGGTGTGTTGCCTACATTTATGTTTGAAATTTCTTTCCAAGCATTTGACCACGATAATTCCGGATCTTTATTAATGCCTTTAAAAAAAAATTAATATTGCCATGTAATTATGATCCAAAGAAATTTAATCAATACAAATTTGTTGAAAGTTTAATCACCTAATATATAAAGAATTTTTTTATATATCCAATTTAATGTTTTTATTATTGCTAATGTTGAAAAAACTTGACCGAATGCATTTCGTAGTTTAACAAAATTATCTGCGACACCAAGTACTGACATATAAGATGAATAAATTGCATTAAATGATGATTCAAACATCATAACAACTGAACCAAATGTATGAAGAATTGATTGAATAGACTGAAAAGCAGGCCTAGAACTTTCTTCTGCTAACTGAATAAACCTGAAAAATTTTAATATTCAATCCCTTACTAAATAATTGTTCATCGAGTTTTCTGTACTTTAAATAAAATTAAATTAAACGTTACCTATTTTCGGGATATGTAGAACCGTAGGATCCAAAAGTAGGCCTAAAGCTATTAAACCCATAACCACCATAACCTAAATTTCCACTATATCCACCAAAGGATGGGGTATATCCCCCGTAAGAATAATTATTATAAGATGATAAATAAGAACCGTAATTATTATTGTAAGAATTTCGCACTGGTCTTGGGGGAACCGGAGGTGCAGGAGAGGCAAGAACCCTATTGATTGGAAAGTTTATCATAGGGGTTCTATTATAATTTGACCTGTATTTAATAATAATAATAAATTATTAGTCTTAATTAAATAAATTTAAATGAAATGAACTTTGATCATCTCAATCTAATCAAATTATCATCTAATGATTTTATGACGCCTAAATTAATAACTTACGTGGAATTATTTATATCGGAAAAAGTTAAGTCGGAATTTTGAAAATTTAAAGCTGGAGCGCCCCAATTCATAGAATTGCCAGCAGCCATTTTAATAAATTATGTTATCATTTAATATATTTATCGAATTATTTGTTTAGCGCTAAGAAACCATTACAGTGCATTACGTCACTAAAAATGTAAATTTTAGGTTGGTACAATTGATTTTAAAATAAATTTAGCCAACATTTCTTAGTGTTTGGTGAATTCAAATGAAGTTGGACGTCCGTTACAAGGTAATTTTATAAAATTTTTATTTTATTTTCTTTTTTTAAATACTTCATTTTAAAAGATTGACATTTTATTTTATTTTAAATCGATTAACAGTTTTTAAAAGAGAAAACTTTTAACTTTTTAAATATTATATTGCCATAAATACAAAAAAATATAATACAAATATATAAAAATATGAGACTCTTTTAAATGGACGGATTACAATTTGAAAAATTAATAAATTAATTTATTAATATATATATAATATATATATTATATTATATAATATTATATATATATATTATATAATATAATATATATTATATATATATAAAGAATATTTATATAATATAATATTTATATTATAAATATATTATAATATAAATATATCAAAAGTATAAAATAATTTTAGACTTTTAATCTTACTAACATATTTTTAAAATATAAAAAATCGACATTTCAATTTAAAATCGGTGAAGTAGATTATGAAAGAAAATATATGTAAATGTAATTGAGCTCAATCGTTTCAATTATTTTTATACAAAAAAATTGAGTTTTAGATTTAAAATAGTATAAATGACATAAAAAATAATATAATTTAGATTGAAAATAGTTTTCTACCAACTGACTCAATTCCTGTAGATGCGAACTTAAATTGTTAATATATAAAATATCAGATAATCTTTCCAATGAGATTACAACAATATATATAACAATAATTTATCTCTTTCTGTTTATAAAATATATGAAAAGTTTTTTTTTTTTTTTCTCGATATAAATGATTTTTTTAGTAAACATCTTTACTAGTTAGGCTAAGGCATTTATAAACTACAATACTTTTAAAATACTCAAAGGTACATGTTAAAAAATATTTAAACATTTGCATTTTTAACACACTGTTTTTACAATTTATGATAAAAGGCCAAGTTACTTACTTATTGCAGATATTTTATCATTATAAACTCATTTATGCCATTTTTAAATGTTTTGTACAAATTAGATAAACTAAAATAAAATTAGCTTAATCGTTTGAGAATACTTGACATTACCATATGAGTAAAAATGAGTTTTTAACGAACTGGAGCAGTAGAAATTGTACTGTGAGGTGTTGTCGGACGAGATCCTGCTATGGAATGTGTTGTAGAAGCATTTAATGAAGTCATTGTACCCATCTAAAAAAAACGAGTAACGAATGTAAAATTATACAGGTTTATATAGTATGGGGGGAGGGGGGGGAAATTAAAGTAATTAAAGTACTCACTCTTAAATGTGCTAAATCTTCCAATTTTGTCAAATCTTCTAATTCCAAATAAAGTGAATAAATTAAAATCCAACCGTATAAATTAATTGCGGAAAATATGGCCCAACAAAAACACATCAAAGCATTGTAGGAAAATATGAGATCATTGACTATGCAAAAAAATATAAATGCAAATATTCTGAAGAGAGTGAAAAATGCAAAAACATATAAAAACGGAACCATTTTTCTTTCATATTCTTTTCTTAGTCCGACGATTAAAATAATGGCAGTGATAAAAACGGCAACTGATGCAACAAGTGAAAATAAAGCGAAAACAATCAAGGCATTTCTCACTGAAATCAAAACAAAAAAACATAACTGTTAACAAAATATATATATATATATATGATGATAAAGTAATATTTATGGAAAATTTATATTTAAAAATAGATTACCATGTTTGTTTCCGACGTAAACAAAATCGAAACTAAATAAATAGTAACCATAATGAATTGAACCTGGTACTGCCACGGAATAACAATACAAATCAAACATTGATGTTATTAATGTAAAAATACTTAAAGCCTGAAATTTTAAAAAAGGTTTTTTTTACTTATTTAAAATTATGTTTAATGAATTGTTGTGTTTTTTTTTCAAAACGAAAAAAAAAAAATAATACAAACGATTGCATAAAATCCAATATATAGAGAAGCTCTCTGCACGTCAAAAATAAAACCGTTTGTTATTATAGGTTTTTTGTACCATGGAACTTTTAAAGATTTAAGAGAATGGACGGATTTTGTAGATTTTAAATTGGATGTCGATTTGGTTACGTGCGAGTACATGGAGCCAGTACCCATGCTATGTGTGGGAGTTTTCCTACCGTGATTCATTCTAAAACATATATACATATGGAACAAGGTAAATAATTAAAATATTTAATAGTTTCACTAATTAATTAATTAATAATAATAATAATAATAATAATAATAATAATAGTACAAACGGTGTTTGTATTTATTTATAAAAAAAAATATGGGCGTGACATTATTAATTTTCCATTTTCTTTTTAATTAATTTTAAATTTATTTTCACTCGAAAACAAATAATAATAAATATTTATTTTAAAACAATTAATAATAATAATTAAATTACTCACGTGACAATTTATTTATAAATAAATAAAAACAAATTAAATTAAACTATTAGGAGGAATAAAAAAAAAAAAAAAAAATAAATAAATAAACATTAAAACGTATCGGACAAAAATTGTAATTAGGGCGTGAGTGTCGTTATCGGGGCCCTTTTTTTAAAAAACATAAAAACAAAATGGCGGCGCGTGTTCTAACCGTTAATTTTCTTTTATATAATTAAACATATTCGTTCGACAAAACTTTTCAGGTAAACATTTTTAATTTTTTTATTAATAAGATTTTAAATTATTTAAATATAAGAACGAACGGGCGAGGAGGAGGAGATGAATAACAGCAAAAAAAATTTGAATTAAAAATTTTATTTATAGCAATTTGAGCAATCTGGAAACTATAATTATAAATATTCAAACAATTTTAAATTTCTAAAAAAAAATAAATGACACTTTTCTGATTAAAAAAAAAAAAACTAATAATAATAATAATAATAATAATAATAATTTCCAGACGATAATTTACAAACGTTGAAAAATAATAATAATGATAATTATATAAAATTATATGCGCGTCGCCGATGCTGCTGCTTTTCATTTTTATTTATTTATTTATTTATTTATTTATTTACAAGCTTTTACAACTAAGCCTAAATAATATTTTAATTTTTTCGTTTTATTCGTGTTTTTAACCCGATTCATTCTTGATATGAAATAAACGAAAACGAAAAAGATAAACATTGTAACAACAATGAAAAAGCAAATATTTAAATAATAATAATAATAATAATAATATTAAGAATAATAATAATGATTATTATTAATTCCATCGCGAATCGTATTTACCGTAACAGATCCACAAATCATTTGAAAAAAAAAAAAATGGAAAAAAAATGAATTTTTTTTTGTAAATATGGCAATCAAATTTTAATAATTAGAAATTATTATCATTATTATTATTTTAAAACTTTTAAGAACTTTATTTAAATAATATTTATTTATTTATTTATTTATTTTCTAACGTTTATTTATCATCATGCACGATCGTAGCTAATTAATTAATTAATCAATGGTGGAAAATAAGATTTAATCGATTTGTGATTTATTATTATTATTATCATTATTATTATTATTATTATTTATAATACATTTACAAATTATTATAAAAATTAAAATTTGAGTCGATAATAATTTCGCGTCGTCGTTCATACAATTAACAAACGAACAACGCGTAAAAATCAATGGCAAAAAAAAAAGAAAAAAGAAAATGGCGATTAATGATTACCGAAATTTTTTTTAAAAACAATTTTAATTATATATATATAAGTAATTTTTTTCGTTATTATTATCATTATCATTATTATTATTATTATTATTATTATTATTATTATTATTATTGTCACAATACAAACAGAAGAATAGGAAAAAATCTTTTTTCTTCTTCCACTTTTCATAAAATTGGGAAAATTTCATTTTCTTCTTCCACTTTTCTCCGAATTGGGAAAATTTCATTTTCTTCTTCTTCCACTTTTCTTTGGAATGAATGAATCAATTTGATCAGAATGCATTTTTTAAATTTGAGAGAGACAAAGACAGAGAGACGGGGGAGAGATAGTGAGAAAGAGAGAGAGAGAGACGGGGATTTAAATTAAAAAAAAAAAAGAAAAAATTACAACTCGATCGTAAATATAAACAACTTCCTTGTTGCTAGCAAAATTTTATTTGCGTTCGAATGAATCGGCGCGAAATTTAAAAACTTTTTTATTTATGTAATTTACTTTATCCGGTTAAGCGGTTTGTTTCCGGTTAAACGATCGACGACGACGACAAACTATCGCCACGACGTCATGGCGCGTTGTTCGATTCGGAATCCGAACTATAATTTTCATTTTTCACGTTGTTACGACCCGCAACGTCCTCGTCGTCGTTAATTACCAAACCGTCTTCTTCGGAATCGTCGTCGCTTCCTTCCTCCTCGGATGATCCACCAAAATTTGATTCTTGAGAGAGAGAGAGAGAGAGAGAAAACGATACATTAAATTTGTCGTGTCAACAGACATAAATCGAATTTCATTTATTATAATATATTACCGGTGAGTTGAGGTTGTAAATGTGCTAGATTTTCCGGCCAAAACCTTTGAGCTGCTTGCTTGCTGCTGGAAGAACCAGAATTCTTTGGTTTTTTAGATTTTCCACCGTTACTCGTCGAACCTGAAATGAAAGAGAGAGAGATAGAGAGAGAGAGAGTGAGAGTATATAAAATGAAATGAATTTGGCGGATAAACTCGTTTCGAAATCCGTTTTTACCTTCGCTCGGATTAGACGCATCTAACATGGGCTGAAGAATTCTTCGCCTCGCGTTTATGAACCAATTATTTACTTGAAGAAGCGTTAAATTTGTTTGAGATGCTATCTGTCTTTTTTCATCTTCCGTCGGATATGGATGCTTTACGACGAACGTTAACAAAAAACAATAATTATTATTTCCGGAAGTGAATCAAAGAAAAGAAAAGAAAAGAAAATTCTGACCGACTGACTTACCACTAAATGTTGAAACAACCACGAACGCATGACGCTTGTCGCGTGCTTGGGTAAAACTCCTCTCTTTTGTTTTTTTCCCTTTCCGCCTAAAAAATCATCTTCCTCGTCCATGGAACCTGGGGTCGTGGGTGACGGCGATAACTGTCCTGCAGAGAATTAAATCACGTTCATCGTCGTCGAAAGTAAAAACACGCACACGCACGCACGCACACGGACACTTACCAGCCGCGAGAAGACTGTTTTCGCTAGGCGGAGGACACGGATTAGCACCGATTTGACTGAGTGGGGTCGACCCGTGTACGATACCCGGACTACTCGGCGGATTCTGATGATTGACAGACGACAGAGAAGTGTTGCCCTGTTGCATGAATTGATACTGATTGACGGGCAAGTGATTGCTCGGATGGTGGGAATTGAGGTACTCGAACGGTGTCGAAGCGTTACTCGTCGTCAAACCCGGAGAACTCGATGGCGATGAATTTTGCGTGCCCGACAGCGAACCGACCTGTAGGAAAGGGAAGGGGGGGGGAGTTCTACATTAGTTATTTTACATCATTTCTTTTCGGAAAATTAGTCGACCCTCGTCTCGTACCTGCAAGCTGTGAGGAGACGTTCCGTAATTCCCGACGGGACTATTCGAATCACTAGAATTATTATTATTATTATTATTTTCGTAATTGTTATAATCGCTCCTCAGTAAATTTTCACTTTGCATTTTCCCCTTCAAACACGTTATGTATCTGTTACAAAAGTCTTTGCACAATTCTTGTACTTTTTCTAATTCTAATAAATGAATTCTAAGAACCTGAATCGCTTTTATCATCTGAAATGATAATAATAATAATAAGGATACAATTTTTCCTAATCACCCCTCCCTCCCGCCACCCTCTCCCCCTTTTTCAACTCACCAATCCGTCGACTTCGGGATCGTTAAGTAAAAACGGTTTCCTATCCCGTTCCTGATGTTGCACGAATGCTTGAATGTCCATGTTGAAACTCTCGGAATTGGGAGATTCGGCGGATTGAGTCGCTTGTTCGCAACGTTCGAACAAAAGAGCCAACAAAGGAAACAAAGGATGCCTGAAAATCGAACGGAATCGAACCTGTCACAAATCTCAAAGGAATCGATGATAACAATAATAATAATAATAATGAAGGATATAATATCCCGTACTTGTAAACGGCTCTTTTGTCGGCTTCCAATTGTGCCTGATCGGGTTGTTGCGTGTAATCGTTTGGTGGTTCCGTGGCAGGGTAACTTGGCGTCAGCATCGTCATCTTCTCCTGCATTCCTAATCACGTTCGGACATGAGTGATTTTCTTTTTGTCTCGCTTCTTTAAATCAAAACCACGACAAACGACGTCTTTTCCACTTCAGCATAGCATCACCATCTCCTCTCTCTCTCTCTCTTTTCCTCGACACGTTCTTCGAAACGTGTTATGACGAACGCGTAATCGCCGTTAGCCGAACGTTTTTATTAAAAACCTGCAAAACGACGACACAAATTAACAGGGAAAAAAAATAAAAAATTGAATATATTATTCGCCCAAAGAATTTTCTCTCTCTCTCTCTCTCTTTCTCTTTCTCTCTCTCTCTTTCTCTTTCTCTCTCTCCATATTTAATATTCATAATAATAATAATAATAACAACAGCAACAACCACACCGAAAAATAAAAATTAGAAAACACGAAAAAAAAATTTTTTTTTCACTTGTAAAACAAGGAAGAAAGAAAGAAGGAAAAAAATTAAAATTTTCATATTTCGGCTTGGTTGTTGTTGTTGTTGTTTGTTGTTTGTTGCCTAAAATCACATGACACACACACACACACACGTATAAACGTTTTCACCTTTTAATTAGATTTTATCGGTTATTATACGTACGTTCTCTCTCTCTCTCTCTCTTTCGGTTATGCAATCGACCATTAACCAAACATTAATTAAAAAAAAAACGCGTCTTATATTTAACCCGTATAAAATTTAATTTAACGATTTAAATATTTCCAACGACAACAACAACCAATTGATACAAACAAACAAACAAACAAACAAACGGATCGTTGAATTATTATTATTATTATAATAAAAAATTTCCGATTCATTAAATTTAAAAAAAAAAAAAACCCGCATCCTTTTTTAACCCCTTGTGCCGACGCCGCCTTTTGCGTGATTTCTTTTTTTTTTTTTTTTTTTCCCCCGTAAAAGAAAAATTCTTTCTTATCAAGAAGAATATTTATTGAAACCTTCCTGAAGGAATCGGAGACTTTTTAAGGAAGGAGAGGAGGGAGGGAAGAAAAAGTGAGTGAGAGAGAGAAAGAGAGAGAGAGAGAAAAAAAAAGGTTCAATTCATGAATATTTCAAACTCCTATGAATATTAAAACGACACTTTGGTTAACTTTTTTTTCTTTTTTTTTTTTTTTTTTACTAAAGGGAGACGGGGATCTTAGGTTGATTGGGGGGAGGTAAGGGGGTAGGGGGAGGGGAGGGAAAAGCAAAATAAGACGGTAAGGGAGAGAGTAAGAAAAAAAAAAAAAAAAAAAAAAAACAATCTTAATTTTATTACTCCGAAAAAGGAAAAATTTCTATTCTTCTCTTGTTTTCAACATAAAAAAAAAAAAACTTTGGATTTTTTTTTTTTATAAACATCATCCATATTTAAAGTCAAATCATTATTATTATTATTATTATTATTATTATTATTATTATTATTATTATTATTATTATTAAACGAAACGGGGAAAGTGGAAGGAAAGAAAGTGGAAAAAAAGACGAAGAAGAAGAAAAGTATTTAGCGGCGGCGGTGGTGATGGTGGCGGTGACGGGTAAGCGAGTAAGGAAATTTTAGTTAGGGGAGGGAGGGGAGGGGGAGAGGAGGAAAAAAAATGGCGGAAAGTAATAATGAAAAGTTGGAGGAAAAAAAAAAAGAAAAAAAGAAAAGCTTTCGACCTAATCAGCGTAAAAGTTATCTCATTATATGAAAACTAAAAAGATTTTAACTTTTTTTTTTCGAAACAAGAAACTCGTGCATTTAATTGGATTAGAGTTCAAGAAATTCTGTGTGATTTAAGCTAATCCTGTAGTGTAAAACCTTTTTTTTTTTTTTTTTACGACAGGAAAGAAGGAGAGGATAAAAGAGAGAGTGAGGGACAGAGAGAGGGAAAGAGAAAGGGATAAATTAAAACACAACATAAGAAGGAATCATCATTTTGTAAGTAAAGTCAAGGGTTTTTTTTTCTTTTCTCCCTCCCTCTCTCTCTCTCTCTCTTCCCTTTTCCCTCTCTTTCTCTCTCTCTCTCTCTATCATTCAATAAAGAGAGAAAAAAAACTTTACATCATCAAATTTTCTTTTTTTTCCCTTTTTCCCTTTTTTTTATATTCCTTATATCCTTCCGCAACCCTTTAGACGTTACCTTTTCACGCTTTCTTTCTTTCCTTTCCCCTCTCCCTCCCTCTTCCCCCAATACGAAACCTTTCACAACCCGACTAAAATTTATATTGATTCACGTTTCGATACAAAATTTATTTTTTATGCCCACTCGCGAAAGCGATTTTACCAACATCGAAAAACAAAAAACTAACTTGACTCTCCTCCTCCTGCCGCCTCGATTTTAAATAATAATAATAATAATAATAATAATTCCAATGGTTCCTACGTATGTCGTCGTTTTTTCCCCACATATTATTATTATTATTATTATTAATATTTAAAAAAATATCACACGTTGACGTCCTTAATATGCTTTTGACCTCCTGTATTAACCAACCGACCAACCGAACGACCGACTCGATTAATTCTTTCTTTTTTTTTTCGTCTGCTTTCTCTCTCTCTCTCTCTCTTTTATTATTATTAATTAATTAAATTCGTGAATTTTTCCACTGTTTACAATCTCTATAAAATAAACTCAAAAAGAAAAAAAAAAAATTTTCTTCCACGTTAAGTTTCCCACCTGGAAACAATCTGAGAAACCATTCGACTCGAATACCCGCGCTTTGAAAGAGAGATAGAGAAAGAGAGAGAGAGAGAGAGAGAGAGAGAGAGAGAGAGAGAGAGAGAAGGACAGTAAATAAAATAATAATAATAATAAAAAACGTGTCCGACGACTCATTCAAGTTGACGTGTACGCTATTTTTATACATCAAAAACTTGTCAGATTTAATAAATTTTTTAGCATAGTCTGCCTGAAAAGGTGAAACCGACTACTACCACTACCACCACCACCACCACCACTACCACCACCACCACTACTACTACTACTACTGTGTGTCATTTATATTGCCCACAATATTTTCTTTTACTTATTTATTTATGTTTAATAAAATGACGTCACTAACGACATTTTTTTCCCAGTTACAATTTACAAGGGCATAGTAATAACAATCGTTTCCTTTTCTTTTTCTTTCTTTTGCAAACCTTCTAGAAATTTCGCGGGTGACGGAAATAGAAAACGATATCTCGAAACAATTCGATCAGAACAAAACTCAAACGCCATTTTTTTTTTGGGTGTTTTTTTAAGAGACACGTGCCACGACGTAAATTGATTTTTAAAATGTCAATTTATCCAATTTATTTCAATGAGGTTTCTCTCTCTCGTGCAGCGCCGCCGCCGCCGCCATTGCCCTACCGCCTCTCAACTCATTATATTAAATCGTAATTACAAATTTTTTTTTTTTACGAAGGCGATAATCGCCATTTTTTTTCGTATAATGCTCTCTGTTAAATTAACATCGAATGATAATGATAATATTCGTTTAGGTAATTCATTCAAACGATTCGGTTTCTTATTCTAGTCCGGAAGGGGGGGAGGGGGAGAAAAATTACAAAAAAATTTGAACGGAAAATAAATAAAAACCCCTTCTGCTTTTCCCCACTCCCCTACCCTCCCTCTTCTTCTTATTGAGAGATTTATTTATAATTATTGTAATTAAGCAGAAATAAAAAAATGAAAAAAAAAAAAACTGGAACTGGAACAGATGTATTTTTTTTTTTTTTTTCATTCTAGACGTTTGGGATGAGTTTAATATTTTTTTTTTTTACTTATTAGACTCACGTATACCAACTTAAATTACACCTCAATTAAAAATTCATCGGTTAATTACCCGAAAACATTAATTATAATAATTTATGAACAACAACAACAACAACAACCATTTATTTCTCTTATGGAAAAAGGTGTGAAATAATGCAAGCGAAAACGAGTCTAACCTGTAATTTACCTCTTCTTCTTCTTCTTATAACTCTTTTTTCTTATAATTTCCTATTACACGTAAGGGCGACACCGACGGCGACGGCGAGGGGGGATGGGGAGTAAATTAATTAAAAATTCCCGTTGTAAATTACATTAAATAATACTTTTCTTTTCCCCTCCCTCACCCCTCACCCTCACTTCACGCAAAACCATACGTGCATTATATAAAATTAAGCAATTTAAAAGGAGAGAGAGGCAAAGAGAGAGAGAGAGAGAGAGAGAAAATGAAATCTCCCGATACATCTTAAACATCCATTTCCATGCGTGCATGCATGCATGTATAATACCATACACAACTTTCGCAATTGTTGCCTGCGGGTAGGTAGGTAGGTAGGTAGGTAGGTAGGTAGGTAGGTAGGCTACCCGATATCTTTTTTTTTTTGATTGATTATTACGACCGCCATTATTAAGGTTCTATCTAATTGTCCTCCTCTCTCTAATCCTAAATGTTCTTCATCGAGTCTCGTCTCTTTCTTTCTATATACCTTTAAAATTGAACCGTAAACGTTGAAACGAACGCAAGTAGTAGTACGTACTCTCTCTCTCTCTCTCTCTCTCCTTGTCAAAACTTGATTTTATAGTTCTACTCGGGTAGAAAGAGAGAGAGAGAGAGAGAGAGAGAGAGAGAGAGAAAATTGTAGTCTTTTTTTTTTCTTCCGAATGAATTTTATAGACGTTTTAACTAGTCGAACCTACTATATAATTACAAGTGAGAAATAACTTTTTTTTTTTCTTTTTCGCTATTATTATTATCATTATTATTATTTTTATTATTTCATTTATTAAACGCGACGTGTCAGAAGAGTTTTTGTCGGAAATGATCATTTCGTTCGAGGATGCATGCGTTGCTACGTGCAAGCTTCTGGTCGATTTCGATGTATCGATCACGAAACGATTTGACTTTATTAATTCGAGAAAATCTGGACCGGAAATACAAAGTCCTCAAACCGAATGTATTTGTTTGTTTGTTTTTTTTTAACTTACTAACAACCGCGAAACCCTTAAATTTTTCAAGTCTCTAGGTATTCGAAAATTATTAGATTGAA